AGAGGAGGAAACTTCATTCTTGTAATCAAACACATGGTCTCTACAATACTGCCTAAACTTTGTGCTAAAGAGAGGAGGAACTTCATTCTTGTAAATCAATACTGGTATACATCAATACATGTAATCATAACTCTCTACAATACTGCCTAACTTTGTGCTAAAGAGAGGAGGAACTTCATTTCTTGTAATCAATACATGGTCTCTACAATACTGCCTAAACTTTGTGCTAAAGAGAAGAGGAACTTCATTCTTGTAATCAATACATGGTCTCTGACAATACTGCCTAAACTTTGTGCTAAAGGAGGAGGACTTCATTCTTGTAATCAATACATGGTCTCTACAATACTGCCTAAAACTTTGTGGCTAAGAGAGGGAGGAACTTCATGCTTGTAAATCAATACATGGTCTCTACAATACTGCCTAAACTTTGTGCTAAAGAGAGGGAGGAACTTTCTTCGTTGTAATCAACACAGGGTCTCTACAATACTGCGTAAACTTTGTGCTACAAAAGAGAAGAGGAACTTCATTCTTGTAATCAATACATGGTCTCTACAATACTGGCCTAGACTTTGTGCTAAAGAGAGGAAGGAACTTCATTCTTGTAATCACACAGGTGGGTTCCTCTAACCAATACTGGCCTAATCTTTGTTTCCTACAGAGAGGAGGAACTTCATTCGTGTAATCACACATGGTCTCTACAATACTGCCTAAACTTTGTGCTAAAGAGAGGAGGAACTTCATTCTTGTAAATCAATACATGGTCCCTCTACAATACTGCCTAAACATTGTGACTAAAGAGAGGAGGAACTTCATTCTTGTAATCACTACATGGTCTCTATCTACAATAGCTGCCTAAACTTTGTGCTAAAGAGAGGAGGAACTTCATTCTTGTAATCAATACATGGTCTCTACAATACTGCCTAAACTTTGTGCTAAAGAGAGGAGGAACTTCATTCTTGTAATCAAATCGAGAAGCAGGAATTGCAATTTATATGTCCTTATCAATTAGCCTAAAGGAGAACAGACATTTGCTTTGTGACCAGTGCTAGATTTTGGCAGACGCTAAGTACTCTTCAACTTAGGGTCTCACAATCTACAGGGACCTCAACAAATCTCCATTTATTTAATGTTTATTTTCTTTTAATCTAGCCTCAAAGATGATTATATAGTATATTTTCGTTTTATATAGCCTTAAAAAGGATTATATCATATAATTTATGTGTTTTTGCATAAAATTTATTGTTTTACTAAAAATGTTGCTGATATATACAACTTATTTCAGGCGAACGAAACATGAAGAATCTACTGCTTGGGGTTATATCACACTTATTACTGCACATACCCCCAGACTAAAATCAAAGGAAGACACAATCGATTCTTTTGTGAGGAACTTGATCAGGCAGTGAACGTGATTTTTATACGTGATGCTATATCCTGAATACACACTTGGTGATTTTAACACGAGTATAAGCGCGCAATCGGACTCACACGTATGTCCAACTACATATGAGAGCACAATGTTTCTGACAGAATGAAAACGGACCAAGACAACGACATCTGCTCCAGAAACGACTTGTGCATCACAAACTCATTCTTCAAAACTAAAGATTGTCTTAAGATGTCATGCAAACACCCAGACACCTCAATTACTTAAAAAAATTATTATTTTAGGAGACCAAGTCGACCCGATGAACTTCTCGGCATAACCAAAGCACTTCCATGTGTATTTTGTTAATCCAGGCTCATAAAAGTAAAGGTAATCTTACACGACAGTGGCACACGGGGCATAGTTATTGGTACCATCGGTCTCATAGACCAATCAGACAGTTACTGGTACCATCGGTCTCATAGACCAGTCAGACAGTTACTGGTACCATCGGTCTCATAGACCAATTAGACAGTTACTGGTACCATCGGTCTCACACGACAGTCCAGACACCACTGGTACCATCGGTCTCATAGACCAGTCAGACAGTTACTGGTACCATCGGTCTCATAGACCAGTCAGACAGTTACTGGTATCATCGGTCTCATAGACCAGTCAGACAGTTACTGGTACCATCGGTCTCATAGACCAGTCAGACAGTTACTGGTATCATCAGTCTCATAGACCAGTCAGACAGTTACTGGTATCATCGGTCTCATAGACCAGTTAGACAGTTACTGGTATCATCGGTCTCATAGACCAGTCAGACAGTTACTGGTATCATCAGTCTCATAGACCAGTCAGACAGTTACTGGTATCATCGGTCTCATAGACCAGTCAGACAGTTACTGGTACCATCGGTCTCATAGACCAGTCAGACAGTTACTGGTATTTTCGGAATTAGAACTCTTCGCTTGCCGCTTATGGGAGCGTCCCGAGTGCTATGATTTCGATTCTCAATTCAACATTCAACATATAGACCAAATGGTCCTCTTTGGGTGATGTGTTCAATATCTTTACTTCACAGGACATTGCCTGGTACCCATTAAAGGGTGGGTAACCTGGATGCCAAGGTCATGTATGAAAAAAACCTGGACCATGCGGATTTGAACATACGACATTCGGATCCGAAGGCGAGCGTCTAACCGCTACACCACTACAGTTTCCAATCCAGGCCCATAATCCACCGGAGTGCCATAGTGCTGATTAATTCACACTGGTGTGTCTGTCTGTCTGTCTGTCTGTCTGTCTGTCTGTCTGTCTGTCTGTCTGTCTGTCTGTCTGTCTGTCTGTCTGTCTGTCTGTCTGTCTGTCTGTCTGTCTGTCTGTCTGTCTGTCTGTCTGTCTGTCTGTCTGTCTGTCTGTCTGTCTGTGTGCGTCCGTGTGTGTCAAACTGTGCTGGTCGATCAGGACCAAGTGGACACAGGACATTGAAGTCCAGCTGATCACAGGGATAGGTGAGGTAGGGGAACTGGCTAGGAACTAGGGCTGTACCGAATAGTGATTTTCACTATTCGGCCGAATACGAATAGTGCGACCAACTATTCAGCCGAATACGAATAGTATATCATCAGGTGACTTGCCGACTGGCGTGGGCGATTGTGATCTCAATCTGTGATCTCGTGCAGCATGTATTTGTTCGTGTGCTGACACCTCTCCATGCCATGCAAAAAGACTGTCAAAAATCTTCTATCGTTGTCGAATGAAAGAGTCCTAAGTATTATAACAAGTAACTAAATTTGGAAATTGTCACTGACAGCTTAGTTAATTCAGGAAAGCTGCATTAGCTTTCAACAAAATGCCTCATCGTTTCGTTCCATGCTGTCACATTAATCCATTGTATGCAGAAGGCGGGTGTAAGGTAACTACTATTCGTACATCTGGTCGGCCCGACCAAGCAACTATTCGGCCGAATACCGAATAGTCAATAGGTCCACTATTCGGCCCCGAAGCGAATACGAAGCGAATATTCGGTACAGCACTACTAGGAACCAAACTGGCTTGGAAACAAACTGGCTAGGAAGCAAGTCTGTTCGACTCCGCCTTGACGAGGGCAAGGTTGTGCAAAGAATCTGCTATATAATGACGATGATGCACTAAACTAATGTATGGTCTACTTTACTTTACTTCTTGCATTGAATCAAAAATTTGTTTAGTCTTTTATAATCGATCAAAATTTAATATATTCTAGACGGCGAAATAAAATGACCTTAAGTCTTGGACAGAAAGTATGGTCTTAGGAAACAGCTGTAAGACAAAGCAGATGGTGCTTTAATGGGCACATTCTGGGGAGAAGCCAACAGAGAATCACAATTAGGGCAATTATATGGCAAGCTAATTAATTAGGGAAACAAGAAAAGAAAAAACAAGCCTAAAACAAACGGGGAGTCGTCGTGGCGTTGGCGGCAGACGGAGGTCGTGGGTTCGCGTTCTGACGGAGCCGGATTTTTTTGTTCAAAAATGACGACTCCCAGGTCGACCGAGCCTTAGGTTGGTACCAGGTGCAGTCTTGTGAAGTAAAGGCGGCCGGAGTGATGCTGACCACATCACCCACAAAGTGCCTTTTGGTGTATAAAAATATAGGTCTAGCCCTATATTCACAATACCCATAAAGACGTGGAAAAGGAAGCTTTACTTTTTTACTAAAACAAACGCCAATGAGAGAGACCACAGGTGCTGGACTAGTTTCTGTCCTAGATACTGAGACAATTATACACGATACAACGGAAGAATAAACTGTCATCTCTATGTGACGCATAACGGCACAAAGAGATAGTAAATATGCCACTCTAAGTGTATCCTCCGTTATTTGTCCCCCCCCCTCCCCCACGTTACATGGAACTATGTGTTGCTGTTGAGCTGAGAACAGACCTGTGGCCAGGCGTGCATTTAACGGTTGCAGTCACCGCGTATACTTTCGATTGCAACAGAAACCTTTATAACTTTACTATTTATTATTACTGTTTACTGTGTATTACAAATACGCCACACGGTTTACGTCAATCTGGTCAAGTCTCAACGCAGCGAACAATAACGCTCGCAGCATGCTGACGCCACTTATGCAGCAACTGTCGTGAGAGCTAGCAGTTACTAAGAGTACTATGCTAGCTTTGCTCTTAGCTATCGAGACTCAAGCGACGAAAAGGAAAATATCATGTGATACCTCATCCAGTGTAATCGTTACTTGCTAGCGTTGTCTAAACCACTTACACATGCTAGCTGATCACACCTATCCACTGAAACAAAGTGCTCGGGGCATTCACATAAGCGCTCTGTCATCACCTTCAGTAGCCAGCGAAGAGTTCCAATTCCGACAGTGCCAGGAACAGTCTGATCTTATGCTCGTCTTGCTTTTCTGTTAGGTGTAGAGTGTCTACCAGGTCCCTTGGTCACTACCAGCCGTACCATTCTCTTCAGACCATAATGATCGATTCGTGCCTCTGAGTTGTTCACTCGATTTCTCATACCTAGCTTGTGTTGAGGGACTTCCGGTTGATCACCAAAACTGTGAGAGCGTGTTTTTTTTTTACTAAACCGATCAAAATTGTCCCCAGACAGGCCGTAAATTGTTTCCATGGAGCGACGTAGAAGGCACACAGATTCACTTAGTGATGACGATGGTAATTAGGGAATGATAGTTGGTTCATATCTTGTAATGTCCCAGAATTGTGATGTTGTTTATGTAACCTGATGTCGATAATGATCTGAAAGCTGGCTAGAAAAAGAAGGACAGCACCCCTCGATTGTTTAACTTTGTCGCTATGTTCCTACCCACATAGGGCTGCAAGTTACAGCTTGCTGGTGCAGCAACTGTAGCTGTAACGAGTGCTGTAATTATAACCTTTAAAGGTTTAACAGGGCTTTCGGATTGTGCTTTGTTTTTGAGTTCCTGTTTTTTTAGATTTACGCTTAGACTTGTTATTTTAAGATTTTTAATCTCAGGGTCTGAGTATCATATGACAGTATGGTGTGTAAGGAAGATATAAATAGTGAAATACATGCCAACGGCTAAATTATTAAGTCACAAGATACAACTATCTTTGAACAGTAATAACACCTGATGTAAGAAGATGCCTTGCATAAATTAGAACAGGAATCTTAATGTCAAAGATGGCCGTTGCCTTCACAAGATGCAACAGATTATCACCAATAAGAAGATGCTCGTTCATTGCAGTGAGAAAAAGTGTTGGTGAAGTACTATATAATTTGTTCATACGAAACAAAAAGGTAGAGTCGAGAGATATGAACCAGCGTCATTGCACACAGTTTTAAACCATAAGTGCTCTGTCACCAGTACGAACAGCTAAGATACTGTAGAAAGGCAAAGAGATAAATAAAATACCCGAATGGCCTGGCTATATGGATGGGGGGTGACACAAACATTAAACTGATCTATGCATCTGATGATCGTGTAACTGTAAGATGGCAAAACATGACAGCCTACGCTTGCAGGCACGGTGCATGATGATGATTGTGTAAGATGGCAAAACATGACAGCCTACGCTTACAGGCATGGTGCATGATGATGATGGTGTAAACTTTTAGGAAGTAACTGAAGCAACCCTAGATGGACAAACTGATCCGTTGTCATTGATTGTTTCCGGGCACTGTTTGAAGGCTAGGGCTCTGCTGTGTTCAGAGTGAACAGATGAACTAAGTGATGTCCTCAAGGATTTCCTATACTCTGCTCAAAGAGAGGCCTTCATTGTAGAATATATGAAAATAATTTTTTTATATCATTTAGTTTATTGTTTAAAATACCCACCCCTAACCCATGAATGGAAATGTCAGAACTAACTTTCATTGTGTAAAGTAGTCAAAGCAGATAATGACATTTATTTTGTAGCTACCCCTTTTCCCGACTGCACAGAACAACACCCATCACAAATTCTTTGTACTAAATTGTTGCATTTACCTTATAATATTATATATATTTGTGTTTTTTTTTTTCTGACTCATAAATTTTTGACTTCACACAATTTTTGGTAGATGACAGAGGCAGAAAGCGTCGACGGATCGCACCAGATGGAGTCGACATCCAGGACAGGCTGGAGTCTCTCATCACAAGAGTTGGAGAAAAGGTCAGGGTTCAGAGGAATATTTGTTTCCTACTTAATGTACCATGTGACCAGAACTGTTGTTTGTATCACTTTTTTCTGGTATTTTTTGTATCATGAAAGGTATTTTATGAAACTAATACAACAAATACCAGAACTTGTTGGGGTGGGGGGGGGGGGGGGGTCTCCAAAAATAGAGCACTAGAATCCACTCAGGGAGTGGAGCAGTTCAAAGGTATATGATAACAGAGTTGCCCGGCTCTCTAGTGAAGTTGGTTAAAGACTCCGAACTCCTTGTGGTCCGGGTTCACTCCCGGGGGTAGGCAGAAAAGCCACATTTCTCCCAGATTAACAGTACCTATAATGGAATCAATGCCAAAGGGTTGCGATATCCATAGTACCGAGCCAAAGGGTTTACAACTCATGGTTTCTGGATACGTTGAAAAAAAAAAAAATGATAACAGAGTGATCCCTGCATGGGCCTACCCACTGTGATCCCTGGGTTCACCTGCTGCATGTCCACCTGTGCAAATCTGTTGGGTTCAGCAATGGACAAGGCAGATATACAGAAGAGTAACTTATAACATCTCTGTGCACGAGACATAATAAAAGAGAGGAATTTTAAGTGTTCTTCCAAATAAAGAAATTTATCAGGAAACAATTTCATATTCATAACCAGTTTGTTGTGGAATGGTCTGAATCTACACCTTACATCGTGGGGGGGGGGGGTGTTGGTGGATACAAAACGCAGAACTTGTTGGTACAACGCTCCATTTCTATCAGAGAACTAGATACAACATACACAGTACTTCACAACACTTCATCCAGCATCTGCTGTTAGCTAACCATGACCTGTTGTTTGTGTAATTGATGTATGCTGGAGGTGTACCCATGTTTGATAATCTGATTGTATTGTAGAGCACCTCTTCCCTGGAGAGCAACCTGGAAGGTCTGGCCAGTGTTTTGGAAGCTGATCTGCCAAATTACAAACATCAGATCATGAAGATTTTATGTGACTGGTGAGCTTCTTCCTGTGACTTTTTATGCTTACATATTTTATTCCCTCACTTATTTTAAATGCTTTCGTCCAGAAGTATTGGTGGTTCGGTGTAAAAAAAAAAAATGTAACAAAGGCCAAATGGGCGATCATGCTGTGTAGGCAGTACTGCCTAGGCTTCATCCCTGTCTTTTATTGGTATAACCATGGGCTCTGATTTCTATGCCTCCCTTTTACACAAGGAAACACTTCTTTGGAAAGACAGAAAGGTTCTGACAGTCATTTGCAAATAATCTGTTCCCACACCATCAGCTTTGTAAGGTATGTGGTGCTGGCCCTGTATTTATTATAGATTACTGAGCACTTGTTGCGGCAATGTCATCAGTATAATTCTGGTCATCTTTGCCTCTCATAGCTTATTCTGGTAACCATTTTGAGGCATTCGACAGCCAGACCAAATTAAAAAAAAAAACACTGAGCTGTGGAGAGTTGAACACATGACCACTGCTGAGCTGGCAAACTTGCTAAGCACTTTGCTGTTGCTTTGCCATGTTTTCTTAGTTCATCACATGTCCATCAATTCTTATTGAAGAGTTTGGGATCTCAGTGTTAAAACACATTATTATTATCTAACTTCTATCTTTCTAGAACTGTATTGTTCTTACTATGGGTGAATATTTATGAACATGGTCATAAGTAAATACTTCCACAAGCCTGTGATCTGGTGACCTTGGTTTTACACTACTTCCACAGTAATAATTGAAGCCATCATTTGATAATACATTTTTGTTACAGTGTGCCTGGTGAATTAGTAAAAATATAGAAACTGATTTCAGTGTAGTCTAATGCTGACATGAACCTGTTTTCAGTGTAGTCTGATTTGCTGATATAAACCTGTTTTCAGTGTAGTCTGATGCTGATATAAACCTGTTTTCAGTGTAGTCTGATTTGCTGATATAAACCTGTTTTCAGTGTAGTCTGATTTGCTGATATAAACCTGTTTTCAGTGTAGTCTGATGCTGATATAAACCTGTTTTCAGTGTAGTCTGATTTGCTGATATAAACCTGTTTTTCAGTGTAGTCTGATGCTCTCTTCTGCTTCACCCTTAGTGTCTGTAATACTTCATATTCTGCTTCTCCTTTCTCTTACTCCTTCTGCTTCAAACCCTGTTTTCAGTGTAGTCCTGATGCTGACCCTTATAACTCTTTCTGTTTTCAGTGTCTGTTCTGATGCTGATATTGAACCTGTTTTCAGTGTAGTCTGATTTAATGCTGATCTTTCTGCTAAACCTGTTTTCAGTGTCTCCTTCTGTCAATCCTTTCTCTTTCTCCTTCTGACATGAACCTGTTTTCAGTGTCTTTAAATGTTGACATAAACCTGTTTTCAGCGTTGTCAGTTTTCCTGAAAAGCTGACTGTGTACACTACCTTGGTGGGGCTGTTGAATGCCAAGAATTACCATTGTGGAGGGGAGGTTAGTTCCTGCAGCTTCTGCTTCACCCTTGTATCCTTTCTCTTTCTGCTTCTGCTTCACCCTTGTATCCTTTCTCTTTCTCCTTCTGCTTCACCCTTGTATCCTTTCTCTTTCTGCTTCTGCTTCACCCTTGTATCCTTTCTCTTTCTCCTTCAGTTGGCACACATGTCATCTTTCATGTTTTGTTATTGTGTGTTTAGTCTCTATGTGCTGTCTGTTCTTGTGAGCAGGTAAGAATCTTAGTCAGTGAGTAATTAAATGCTGGAGAAATTGAGAAGGTAGAGGTGTAGGTTGGAAGAATGTTGAGAATTAGTAGTAGTAGTACATTTTACCAGCGATAAACATCCGATGACACAAAGTGCCACCATGTGGATGAGGATCACCTGTGGAGAGGTCCCAGAAACCCCGTTCAGCCATTAGACCATATTTATGGCCGGGCTATATTGTGGCCCCCGACAAGAGTCTGGGTGGGGCTTCAAAATAATGAAAAATGGCACCCCGCAGGGGGATGACTAGTGCTATGTTGTGGGTGGAGATAAAATTAGATTCAGAGTAGCAGATTTAGTGATGTCAATAAATTAACCTAATATGGGAACATATTATAAAAGAATGACAAAAAGATGTCTGTGCATAGCTGTAAACAAATAAAAATAATCAGATGGGTGTCCTAAAAGGGTGTTAAAACCAGCAAACAGGAAAGAACCCAGCTCTTTGAAAGGATGTCATTTTCTGAAGTTCAGATGTGTTCTTGACATTGATAGTGTCTTCCATGTTGTTGTTTTTTTTTAGCCACACGATGAACAGGTGAATGCTGAGACTAGCTAAAGCTTTAACAATAAAAAAGAGTTCATTATAAATCTGTCATTATCCTGGTAGTCACACAACTGTCATCAGCTTCCAGGGATAAGAATAACGTTTCCCAGAGAAGATGTGTAATTTGTGTATTTCTGTCTAATAAATTCAGCGCCTCCTAATTTCATTATTTGTTTATGTAACTGTGACTGACGAGATAACAGCGAAATCTGGCTGGCAATAAATTGTCCAATGTATTGTTTGTATCCACATAGTTTAAACTGCAGTTTCATTAACATATCTGGCGACACTAAGGATTGTAGAGTTATATCCGCACGAGAAGCAGACGCTATGACCAGTGTCAGTGAAATACTTGATGGCTACAACCTTGTTAGTGGGTGTCATATATTGGCGGGAGGAAGATTGGTGAGGTGGCATAAGAAGTAGCCATGTAACGAAAACTGGCAGTAATGTGTGAACACTTACGCCCTTATATATTCTGGGTAATGACATTCAGAGTCGTTCCTCGTCACTTTTCCATCCAGGAACTTTTCTTACAATTCTGAAAATTCTTGAGCGATCTCTCGTTATGCGCTTAATCCACTGTAAGCCATTAACTGGGATATCGTCTCAAGGTCTGTTAGGTTTTCTGCCAGACTTAGTTGTCAGGCCTCCTGTGTGTGGGTGGCCACATGTTGATTGCTAGCTTCTCCAGGAGAGGACACTCTTGCAGGACATGCTGTGGAGTCTGTTCAGCACAGACACTCGCAGAGAACTGCTTGGCTCACACCTCATGTTTATGTTGTTGTTTTTATTGTCTGCATCATCCAGGGCGAGTGTAACATTTGGAACATTGTTTGGTGCTGTCTTAAGAGACATTGTTGACCCCCCAGAGCTGTAAAGGTGAGAAAACAACATCGTCTGCCATTGCCGGGGGGTTGAAACTGGATCATTGTCTGAGCACTAACAGCTAAGCCACCAAGGCTCAGGAAGTGATTGAATATGCATGACTGGGCAGACATGGTGTAACAGGAAATGCATCTAAAGAAAGATACGTGATGGTGCACACCACAGCAATGTGGTTAATTAGTGGTCAGTCTCTCTTCGCAGATCAAATGAACTGTATTTATACTTTGAGTACATTGTTTGCTGTTTCTTTTCTATTTCTTTATGAATAATGTTGCAACATTTTTTTATTTCTTTGTCTCCCTCTTTTAATTTATTTATGGTAGAGCGAGTTATTGAATTTTGTTTCTCTTGTCGATGTATTGCATCTCATACGGATTGATGGTAGTGGCCGAACTAGGCAGCATTTATAGTAAAATTTTGTTTGTTTTAGTAAACTTTGTGATGAATCTTTTGTTTGTAGTGCATTTAATTCTGCTTGTTGTTTATACTCTTTGTTTAATTCTAAGATTTTGATAATTTCATAGTTTGTTCATTCCATTTTCATATTACATTAATTGTTCCAAATGCTTTTGTTCTGTTACACACGTGATGTTAAAGAGTTACATAATTTATTTCATTAGTTCTTGAAGTTTTTTGTAAATTAACAAGTTGGGGTGTGGTCAATCAGAACATGGCAGAGTACACTGGGGAAATCACTCACCCTGAGAACCACAATCAATCGTACATGCTTGTACACACATCTTAAACATTTATGGCATGGACAAAACATTATTTTTTTTTCCCCCTCAGTTTGTGGAAATGCTGGTTAGAAATTTGAAGGACGCGCTGAAAACTGGTGAATTTGACAATGCAAGAATCATGGTAGGTTTTTAATATTAAAGTTATTACATGTTGTTATTTAACAATATATGTTGATCTTTATTTAACTGTTCATAGCTATTGTTAGGGATATCTGTTCACAAAGGTAGAAAGTAAGTTAGTGCACAAGATATTCTTTGATCATATTCAAAGAAAACACTGAAGATCCTATCTAATTATTCCTGTCAAACAAATGTTGTGAAACATTTCTCTGCAACATCCAGCACTAACATACAACTCTCTGAGAACTGTTTGGCTTCAGATTTTATGTGAACATTTTAAGTTATTACTGAAAAAATGATGAATATGATAGTTAACAGTTATTCTGCCTTTTGCTAATAGCAACTAGTGACCAAATGTTGATTCTCTGGTTGTCTTATAGGATAACGTTTTTTAGACAACCCACAATGTTTATGCACCAGTAATAATTTAATGGTATTCACCTGTTACAACTCTGACGTGTATTATTTCACAAAGAAAACAGCAGATGAATTAATCCTGATACAGAAATTTATTTGAGTGTGGGTGTATAAAGTGTTATTCTGAAATATTTATGTACTCAAAAATTATAATTGTATATACTTGCAGTGAAGACATTTAAAAGTACCAAACTTTGAAAACCTTGGCTACTTAATGAATTTTGTGTATTTATCATTAGAGAGGCTTGAGTTTCTTTAGTACCAGAGGGACTGATGTTTTTGTTTGACAGGTTCGATTCTTGTCAGACCTGGTTAATTGCCACGTGCTGGTTGCAGCATCTCTACTTCAGATGTTTGATAACTTTGTGGAGGTGACTCTGGAAGACAACATCCCCCAGGTAGAGTCTCTACATGTTTGTGTACACACACACACACACACAACCTATGGCTGGTGATAAAGTCAAGCTGTACCAGCATCTTGTCTGTTATATATGTGTGTGTGTGTTTCACTGTGGTCATTGGGCTGGTGATAAAGTCAAGCTGTACTAGCATCTTGTCTGTTTGATATATGTGTGTGTGTGTTTCACTGTGGTCATTGGGCTGGTGATAAAGTCAAGCTGTACCAGCATCTTGTCTGTTTTATATGTGTGTGTGTTTCACTGTGGTCATTGGGCTGGTGATAAAGTCAAGCTGTACCAGCATCTTGTCTGTTTTATATGTGTGTGTGTTTCACTGTGGTCATTGGGCTGGTGATAAAGTCAAGCTGTACCAGCATCTTGTCTGTTGTTTCACTGTGGTCATATGTCAAGCAGTGTGTGTCTGTTTTATATGTGTGTGTGTTTCACTGTGGTCATTGGGCTGGTGATAAAGTCAAGCTGTACCAGCATCTTGTCTGTTTTATATGTGTGTGTTTCACTGTGGTCATTGGGCTGGTGATAAAGTCAAGCTGTACCAGCATCTTGTCTGTTATATATGTGTGTGTGTGTTTCACTGTGGTCATAGGGCTGGTGATAAAGTCAAGCTGTACCATCTTGTCTGTTATATATGTGTGTGTGTGTTTCACTGTGGTCATTGGGCTGGTGATAAAGTCAAGCTGTACCATCTTGTCTGTTATATATGTGTGTGTGTGTTTCACTGTGGTCATTGGGCTGGTGATAAAGTCAAGCTGTACCAGCATCTTGTCTGTTATATATGTGTGTGTGTGTTTCACTGTGGTCATAGGGCTGGTGATAAAGTCAAGCTGTACTAGCATCTTGTCTGTTTTATATGTGTGTGTGTGTTTCACTGTGGTCATAGGGCTGGTGATAAAGTCAAGGTGTACTAGCATCATGTCTGTTTGATATGTGTGTGTGTGTTTCACTGTGGTCATTGGGCTGGTGATAAAGTCAAGCTGTACCATCTTGTCTGATATATATGTGTGTGTGTGTGTGTGTGTGTGTGTTTCACTGTGGTCATTGGGCTGGTGATAAAGTCAAGCTGTACCAGCATCTTGTCTGTTTTATATGTGTGTGTGTGTGTTTCACTGTGGTCATTGGGCTGGTGATAAAGTCAAGCTGTACCATCTTGTCTGTTTTATATATGTGTGTGTGTGTTTCACTGTGGTCATAGGGCTGGTGATTGTTGACAGTACATCAAACCTTTGGGGCGAACATGACCAGCCTTAGCCTAACTCCAGCCAGTATGTACTGTGCTGAATCACTCCAGCCAGTATGTACTGTGCTGAATCACTCCAGCCAGTATGTACTGTGCTGAATCACTCCAGCCAGTATGTACTGTGCTGAATCACTCCAGCCAGTATGTACTGTGCTGAATTACTCCAGCCAGGCGACTTATAGGGACCCACGAGACAACATGGAAAGAGAACTGACCCGTCAGCTAAACAGACTCACAGAAAACAATCAAATTGTTCTCCAGTGGGTCCTGGCTCACTGCGGGATACCAGGAAATGAGTTAGCAGAAAGACTTGCAAAAGATGGAACACGCCCATTCATTGTCATTACCAGAAATCAGAACACTTGTCGAAGGAAAATACAAGGGATTGTAGAAAGAACAAACTAACAGTGAACATCCACAAGACCCCATCAGCAGACTCAACAGAAAGCAACATACAACAATTTTCCGTCTATGAACAGGACACTGCAGGCTCAACTACCACATGCATAAAATAAAGATCGTACAGGTTCTCCCCCCCCCCCCCCCTGCAGTGTGCCTGTCAAACAGGACCCCAAACACCTCAGCACATTCTGCAGACCTGTTCGAAAAGACACCTGGCCTCAAGAGCAGAGTGTGCAGAGCAAGCTATGGGGGACCATGCAGGACCTGCAGCTGACATGCGAGTTCATAGAGGCAACCCGCCTGATGGTCTGATCTGAGCATACGAAACCGAACGCAAAGAAGAAGAAGAAGAAGAATCACTCCAGCCAGTATGTACTGTGCTGAATCATGCCGTGTTGTTTATATTCTAAAGTAGGACTATTACGTGCCAGAGGCCTATGCCCCAGCGTAAACAAATCATTCATACAGTATAGTTTATCAAAACACCATCAATTTAGAATTCAATCCTTTTTTGTGTGTGATTCTGTTGAACAAAAGCAGTAAAACAAGTAATGGTAATTACAAAGAAAACCAACCCTCCAAAATGCAACATCAAAGTAAATCGGACAAATCTCAAGCAAGCTGACATGTTTAAATACTTGGGTACCCTGAAAACATCAGATGGAAGATGTATGAAGGAAGTTAAATTTTAAATAGCTCAAGCAAAGACAGAATTTTACAAAATGAAGAAAATGTCGGTTGAGACGAGAAAGATATTCATAAAAGCTATATAAATCATATCATGATACACGGAAGTGAATCATGGACAGTTGGTAGATTAGTGAAAAATCATTTTGAAGTTGCTGATATGTGGTTTTATAGACGAACCCATCATGGTTGGCTAGGTATTTCTGGTTTTTATGGCCGTTGTTTTTACAGGATGAGGGAGCTATCTCTAAGCCCAACCCTACCCTCAGTCACCTCCTAGTACATGCCTGGTTGGGTGCAGTGTTACTATTCTTTGTTTTCCAGGGGGGCCCTGGTAACACAATGGCTACACACCTCTATTTAAAAAAAAAAGTTATAAATGTTTATAGTTTATTACTGTTTTGGATTTACTCAGTATTTCAGCTTCAGCACTGATTTTACATTAGAGCTAAAAATTCAACATGTGAGAGCGTTTTAACCTTCTTTGACTTCCACAGATTTGGAACATAGTGTTATGAAAATATATGAAAGTTTATACTTACAACCTGCATTTTATGTCTTTATTTGACAAATTACATTTTCACTACTCATTTAATTCTGTTACACAACAGATGAAACAGGTAATAGTTTTCTCCAAATTATCTTGTTCTCTCTCTTTTTTTTTTAATGTTTCCACCTTCTACTTATTTGTAATTCAGTAGCCTCCTGCACAATCCCAAGCCACCTGAAGTGACTGTGCCCCTGATCCCATTTTGGGAAACTAGTCTATGCCACCACTTCAGTAAATATGTTTCCTCTTCGGAGACGTGGCAGTGTAAACATGGATACATCAGCTTTCAGACTTAGACCCAAACCTACCAGGGAACACAGTAAACCAGGTTGTGCTCTAGCCACCTTCTTTGACTTCCACAGATTTGGAACATAGGTTATGAAAATATATGAAGTTTATAATACACCGCATTTTATGTCTTTATTTGACAAATTACATTTCACTATCATTTAATCTGTTAACAACAGATGAACAGGTAAAGTTTTCTCCAAATTATCTTGTTCTCTTCTTTTTTTTTATGTTTCCACATTCTACTTATTTGTAATCAGTAGACAAGCTCTGTTCTCATAGCCAGGCTGTCTAGAGGTAGACCACACATCATGTGGATAGAGTCTGTTCTCATTTTACTATTTAAACAAATTTTCTTTCGGGGGAATCACATTTATCTCTAGATCCACAATTAAACTATTTGCTGTGCCTAATAGTGAATGTGATAGGAGAGCATAGATGATGGCTAGGTGGAAATACATAGAAATAAAGAACAGACACAATTTTTTCCCCCAGAGGTTCACAAATATACACCCAGGTACAACTGACTTATTCCCTTCTCTTTCACACAGCAGCCATATCATGTATGTGAAGTTTATTTAGCAATATTCATAATATGGATATGAAGTTCAGATTTAAAAAAAACCGTTATTTAAGAAATGAAGTATGTCTGCCTGAGTGTACACACACGTGAGCACGCACAATACATAGGAAAGAAAGGTGAAGAAAAGGCGGGCAAACAGTGAGTAGTTTGAATGAACCTACACAAAGCCATGCAGCTGTATGTACAAGAAATTGAGCCGTGTCAACAAGGCTCAACCTGACAGTTATCCACCAGTTAGAGAAGTGATCACAGTAGCATGAGAACAAGCATTCCATCAGGTGAAAACGGCAACATATGACAAAGAAGTAATCATACGCAACACTTTAAGTATTTGTACAATTATTGAGGGTAACGTTATCTTTATCTGGCTGTAAAAATTTGCATATTGTCAACAGGTGCGCTCGGATGTTTATGTGTATCTAGTATTGTCTTCCCTGCCTTGGGTAAGTCAACCATCTGATATTGAATCAGATTTGTGGTCTTATTTAGTTAGTTGGATTATCATCATTGCACTCCGGACATGTCCATAGGTGCTCAGATCCTCCCCTGTCGGAACCCCAACATCCGATGGCTAATAGTACCAGTTCTATGTTGATTAACAAGTCTTCTGGTGTGCGTCTCATTTTTTGCTATGCCGATCCTAATTCCCAAGTCTGCCATTCTGGCGAGTGATGTGGATTCACTGCCCCAAAGTCCTCTGTCCTTCCAATTTCTCTGAGGGCATTAATAATATCAGCATGATCCATAGACTGACCGTCGGTAGTGATAGCAGATCCAGCCAGCCTATTAGCTCTTTCATTTCCATCTATGCCTGCGTGTCCTGGACCGAAAATAAAGGTGACTCCACGCACAGTGGACTTCTGTAATGATTCACGCCATTGTCTTCGCACCGAACCTGCCTGAACCCTCCGGATCATACTCATGTGGTCGAGTTTTGGACATTAAAACTGTAAAATAAATTACTGGAGCTATCGGTGCACAAGATTGTTTTTGTACATGTACACAAATGATTCTGGCATATGCAGGTACAGTTCAATGAGTTATTGCAGCGTTGTTTCATGAGTCTATTTGTTTATTCTTATCTTCAGACAGTAGAACCTGAACAGGACAGAAACTTTCAGGTTTTATATATGCATCTAAGTATTCAACCCTAAATATGGACAACAGATTGCTTACATTGCATACTGACCATTTCCTTCTTGACTGTTTAAGCTAGCATCATTTTGATACAAGTGATTGAACTGTCAGTTTTTATCTCTCTCTCTCTCTCTGTTGGTTCCAGGGCCTCGTTGTTGTGGGGGGGGGGGGGGGGTGTAGACCCACTGTTCTCCCAACAAGCATGTCCTAGGAGACGACTAGTTGTGAGTGTTTTCATTCATATCAGTGCATCTGGCTGGGAGATGAGGAACCAACAGTCTGCATGCAAATAAGGCAGATCTGTAGAACTAAAAGTTTTTGAACAAGACTAAAACCCTGAAGTGGATGAACAACCAGAACTTTCCTCCAGAGTTTACAGCCGGTAAACATGAAGAGAAACAAAGAAGTTATCCAAGCAGAATTTTTATTAAAACATTTTCTTTAAATAAGAAACAAAAATGTCTCACAAAGTGAACTTCAGTTTAAAAAAAAAATTATGGAGAATACAGTTGTAACCTGGTATGATATTCTTGGAATATGTCAGATTGATTTCTGTGTGGGAATTGTTCACCGGCAAAATTACACAGTTACAATGCCCGGAAGTGATGCTGTGTGCTTGCATATGTGACTGGCCAATCTCGACAGACTTGAATACATTGCTGAAGCAATAACTAACACTTAGCCAGCAAGCTTTTCATAAAAGACAAATAAGGATTGGTGTGAGACTGACCATCTCATAGAAAGCTGTAGTTGCAAAATCCAGCCAATCTTGTGCAGGTCTACTGAGACCTGGGCATGGGTCGGCACTGTTATTGTTTGTGAAAGGCAGAAGAAGATACCACATTAGTGGATCGCCTGTTACCTGTCCATCCAGGTGGGTCTGAGCTGCTTGTTGGCACGTATGTGCATACATGTGGTTGTGCTTGTTTCAGAATTCTACAACCTTTTCTCACATCTGCTGATCATATGTAACTTGCATTTGTTCAGGTGGGTAAGGAGCTGTTTGAGAAGAAGGAGAATGAACTCAACACCATGCTGGTTACAATTGAGAACTATTTAAGGTATGTCTTTTAGATCTTCTCACTTATATGTGCTAGTTACAGTAGAAAATTATTTGACCCATGACTTCACATTTTCCCCTGTAAAGTTATCTAAACTCTCAAGTCACCGTTGACACACAAGGCTTTCACAAGTAATCTCCCTTGCTGCAAGTCTGCGGCATTACTGCCCACTGTATCTTGTAGTTTACACTCCTTCATTTCTCATTCTACTGTCTTTCTCCGTGCCTGCTGTTTTCATCTCCATCCACCAGACCGATGCCCTTACCAGAGAATCAGCAGACATATCCACACTATGTTCATCTTCTTTCATAACATTTTGGCAAGCATTTAGTTCTCCAGTTGTGTGTGCAGGTCACAGTACAGTGGAGAACTATTTGATGTTATATCCTCTAGCTTTTCTCACTTGAAAAAGCTGTATCGAATACCATGGCAACAGCAACCAATTGTTCTGACCAGTTTGTATCAAGATTAGCACCTCTGTTTCACACAATAAGCTGTGACATAGCTGGCTGGTTGAAGAGTATGAGAACAGGAGCAGGTCACTCTCAATCTCAGTTTTGTATTCTGATAAATACACTGCATTCCTCACATTAATCTTTGAGTGAGGCGCCCTTTACTTAGCTATTATGTTTGTATTGAGTTATTGCTAGATAATTACTGTTTTACAGCTATGATGAAATTATGCATCTGCACTTCTGATATATTCAAAAGTTTTCAGTCTCCTTCCTCGAACAGATGTTACAAAATAATGATCATTTAATTCATTTACTGCGCTGGTAGTCAATATGATGAGTAATAAAACTTGTTCCCTCACCTCGCCAGTTCTGAGTACTCCATTCTCTCATTACATTCTGCTCTGGGGCTATCTTTAAGTAAAGTAAATGACTGTTTCTTCTACAAATTTTAGTGAAGCCCACTTGGTATATGGTGCTAATCCCCCATGTTTTCAGACCAGCTGGCACTTGAATTAGTGATAGATCACACCAGCTGTCTGTTACTTACTGGGTCAGTTCTAAAAAATATTTGTGCATTGATTCACAATTTGAAATCATCATCAGTCGGGTGGGAGGCAGGTGTACTGGTTACTATACTGGTGCCTGGATGACCTTTCAATAGTAAGATATAGGTGTAGTATTTGCTTGGCTGGTAGATTGCTGGGGTTGGGTTCTGCTGTGGCCTGTAGAGGGCAGGCAACCAACTTTATATAGATGTATTATTTGTGTGGCTGGTAGATTGCTGGTAAAAACCTTGTCTGTAATCATAGCTGACATTCTGGAACATGTATATGTGATGTCAGATGGTCAGAAGAGAATACAAGAGCACACCAGATCCACACCCAGCTCAAACATGAACATGTCTTCTTGGCTTTCCTGTAATCTAGTCAGTTCAGGTCAAGTCAAGGATCTTTTTTTTGCACCTTCATGCATATAGGGCTAGACCTATATTTGTCTTTTACAGATCAATCTGGTCAACATCACCTTGGCCGCCTTCATTTCCTATGCCTTTACCTCACACTAGTTTAAGGTTGGGAAAATGTTTTTCAAAACAGTCCAGCACCGTCCAGATTTGAACTCACAACATTCAGATCCACTACACCATGGTGGCTACATATCGCAGGTCAGCACTGTCGGTTACCTATCCAGGTCAGCACTGTCGGTTACCTATCCAGGTCAGCACTGTCGGTTACCTATCCAGGTCAGCACTGTCGGTTACCTATCCAGGTCAGCACTGTCGGTTTACCTATCCAGGTCAGCACTGTCGGTTACCTATCCAGGTCAGCACTGTCGGTTACCTATCCAGGTCAGCACTGTCGGTTACCTATCCAGGTCAGCACTGTCGGTTACCTATCCAGGTCAGCACTGTCGGTTACCTGTCCAGGTCAGCACTGTCGGTTACCTATCCAGGTCAGCACTGTCGGTTACCTATCCAGGTCAGCACTGTCGGTTACCTATCCAGGTCAGCACTGTCGGTTACCTATCCAGGTCAGCACTGTCGGTTACCTATCCAGGTCAGCACTGTCGGTTACCTATCCAGGTCAGCACTGTCGGTTACCTATCCAGGTCAGCGCTTGCCTGAAAAGTCTGATCAGGGTTGTTCATGTCTCATGTCCCACAGAAGACTGGCCAGGTAACAAACACATACCTATAGGGTTTTATTGTTGTTTTATGTTGCAGCAAACGACAGAAAGTCCACCTGGCTGCTCTGAGAGTCTGGTCTGGTGATGGTCCTCACCCACAAGAGGAGGTAACTTGACATTGGGGGGATTGTGTGCTAGAGTAGGCATCCCCTTGCCTAAAATGTTTGCTAGTTGTTCTGTCACTGTTGGTTTTTGTCTGCCTGATCTCATCTACAATGTGTTTTCTTGATTCACTCACTTGTTAGCAGGAAGGTCACCTTTTTGTCTTAGCAGCATTTTCTTGCAATGTTAGTGAACAAATTAAGAGGAATTTCGAAGCAACAGAGATGTGCTTTCTGAGATGAATGTTACAAATACCTTGTACGGCTAGAGTAACTAACAACAATTGTTTGAAAGTAGCTAGTGAAAGTAGATTTCTTTATAAAACAATAAGAAAGAGACAAACGCTGTTCTTTAGCCACTTAATGAGAAGAGAGACATTGGTGTATTGTCTTGACAACTGGAAAGATCAGTGGAAAAGGGGGTTAAGGCAGACCAAGAGTGATGATGCTGGAGTTGAAAGGATGGCATGGAGGGATGTCATCAAGAGAGCTGTTTCAGGCAACCAGGGATCCTTATCTGTGGAGATGCATGAGCGCCTACGTCAACTGGCACAAATGATGATGATTTTCATGTGATAGAAGGTATCACACATTTAGTGAAAAAATATCAATCAGTAATGTTACTTTAAATGGGATATAACTCTTATTTCTGTAAATTTAAGTTTAGTGGGAAACATTGCTTTTTCTGTGATTGGTCACTTTTGTGGAAATACCACTTTTGATATGAATAGTGAACACTTTTGTGAGCCAGTGCTCTTCAATGTGCATGTCATTTAGAATTTTGTTTTTGGTTATCTTTCCTTGGTTCACAATATTAGAAAATATTTTCTTGAATAATTTATTTCAAAGGTGGTGTTTCTTTGGGCCAGAATTATCTTTGTTTAATATTTCCCAGGAATAATGCACGCAGATGGGGAAATCAGGTGAATGAGAATTCTGCAGCCACATTCCTTTTCTTGGAATTCTGTTTCTTAGAATTCTGCTTGTTTGTGCGTGTTTTGATGAAGAGAAATCCTGCTGTGTGTGTGATTGTGGCTTATTACCGGTGCTTATTCAAGAACTTGTGTGGCATGCTATTGGCTGCAATATTCCTCATTATGCAGTTTCATCAACTAATGTCACTTTTCTCCACTTGGACATTGTATATGAAGACACTCTGCCTATTGTGTTGCAAGAGTTGAAAGAGAATCCAAGACACTCTGCCAAATGCCAATTGTGTTGCAAGAGTTTAAAGAGAATCCAAGACACTCGCGTTGCAGCCAGATTTGTTTAAATATATGCTGACCAAACACACAAAAGTGATAAGACACATAATGTGGTGTCTGGGACACATGAGAAAGTTTCAATAACAGATCAGGTTTGATTTATAAATGAAAATACTCATGGTTTCTACTTGTTTGCATCCAGTACCTGGACTGCTTGTGGGCACAGATCAAAAACCTCCGCAGCAACAAGTGGACAGAGAAGCAGATTCTGAGGCCGTATTTAGCTTTTGACGGTGTTCTATGTGACGCTTTGCAGCACACACTGCCTCAGATTATCCCACCATCCCACAACAAGTCCAGTGTCTACCCTCTGCCTCGTGTGATATTTCGGCTGTTTGACTACACTGACGTACCTCAGGTGAGATGAAATACATTTTCTGTGTGATTGCCATAAAGATAGAAAGTAAATATTGAAGTAAATAACAGAAATGGTCATAAATAGAAGGAAAACTAGGAGATGAGGAGGAGAACTAGTCAACTTTGTTCTTTTGAGGGTGAGGTGAAGGTAGGAACCACTGGGTGAAAAATGACAAGAAACATAGAATTGATGTAGCTAGTACTGTATGGGTGAATGAGGAAGTGCTACAGTTACAGAGAGTAGCTTCGTTACCTGCTACCTTGTCTTGCTTCTGATGATGTGGCCAAACTGCTTGCCTTGCATTCTGAAGGTTATGGGTTTTCCCATACTATCCACAAGTGCAGTTTTGTTTTGGAAGATCCCTGAGGGGGGTTTGTTGGAATTATGGAGTTCCCACTTTGTGCAGTGTTCTTGTGAGACACTGACTGGCCAGGATCTTTACTGAGAAGGACTGAGCCAGATGCCATCAAACCTGGTGTGATTAAATAGATTCTCTGGCACATTTAAACTCTTTTTATGCTGATCTATTTCTTACTTTCTTGTTAAAAAAATTTTTTTTTTAATTTTGTATTTACATTGTAAACTCTCCACCAACAGGGAACCATTCTGCCAGGAAGCCACGCTATTGAGCGATATCTCATTGAGGAGCAGATCAACAGAATTATCGACTCCAACTATATCGAGAGAAAAGAGTGGTAAGTCACTTTCACCTGGCAGTTCATATTTCTCTCTTTGAATCCATGTTCGATGTAGCACAAAGGCCGAGTGGTGTACTGGCGCGAGCACACACGGCTCTTACAAAACTGATGCCAGAGATAAATATTTCTGGGCAGGAAAGACTTAGGAAGGAAACTGGCCAGCCCATCTCATAATGAAGTGACCTACTGACCTAATATTTTTAGTGACCTATCACTTGACATTCATACTGCACCATATCCCATGGAGATGTCTTGGTATTTTCACAAGAAATCAATTAAAATAGATGCAGTAGGTTTTCTTTCTTCAGATCAGAAAAACCTGATAACAGGTTCTAGCAGACTTTGCTGCTTTGTTGAGTCATTTGTACAATAGTTTTCCTTTTTTGTATTCAGATAATGTAGACAGTTTCACAGTTTGATGAATAGATAATGTGGCTAGTGTATTTTAGTTGAACAGATGTATATTTTGTGATTCATTATATATTGTCTTTTTTTTTCTTGTTGTCTGATACAAGGTTGTAGCCTGGCGTCCTGATTTTCTATGTTTGTCTTGTGCATATCGGATTGTTCATCATTTGCTTGATTCAGCTACACCATTTATCCTTTGGTGTTCCCCTCACCTTTCCCCGAGGTGTTCTGCTGTTACAAATCTCATGTCTAGTTTGGTCTGGTTGCCTTCGCACTAGACTTTTATCATCTCATTTTTGTGTGTCAGTATAATTCAAACAGTATTATTCCAGCTTTCTCTCAATTGCTGGTATTTATAACCCTGTTTCATCTAGTGTTGTTAGCACATTTCACAGGTAGTTATTTTCTGTTCTGGTGCCCTATTCATTGTCCATGTTTGGCTCTGATAACATAAGTAGGGATGAAAATGCTATTGATCATTTGCTTTTTTGCTGGAAGGGAGACATTTGGGTGGGGCTAGCAAATAAAGTAACGCACACGAGAGGATGCAACAAAATAGACAGTTAATTACGTTTCAGTGTATTGTTATATGAATGTATTATTTAGATGTTTCTTCATTGTTTATGTGTGTGTATTTATGAGCCTGAAGACAGAAAAAGATAGCTCTGGGAAATTCCTATTTACTTCATTAGTCTTTGTCCTCTCTTTCTACCTCCCTTTATCTTTATTATAAATCACATATCCTTTCTGTATTTTGTGTGTTCACTTTAAATAAAGTGTTAATGCCTCCACAATTGCGACCACTACACGGGTTAAACTTTCAGTTGTCATTATGGCTACAGTCTGTAATTTTAACAGTCACATTGGCAGTCAGCTTTATGCACCTTTCCTTTATTTATTGCCATAATCAGTGAATGTAAACTTTTGCTGGAGTTATATCCCATAGAATATTTGTTCTATTTCCTTGAAAGGGTAATTTTTAAAACTTATATTTCACTGTTATCTTCCTTGAAACCACATATCTTTATGTGTCTGAGACAATACATTTGTCTGCCTCCCAGATTGTTACAAACTGGTGTTTGTATTACAGGGGATGCCTGGGTTGCACTTACAGGCAATGATTAAAGATATGGCAGTGGTAGAGACAAAGATGAAGTAGAAGACTAGGGTTTTAGTTAGACCCCTATTTCTACTAGGCTTAGGTGTAGGGCAGTGGTGGAGAGTAAGATGAGGTAGAGGACGGGAGATTAAGACTTTCTTTCACTGTCCCGGGCAATTATATCTAGTTATAAATATTATCTATTTATGAACTCATGATGTGCTTTATATCACGGTCAGCGCTGCTGCCTTGCTGGGTTACCCTGCCAAGAACAAGATTCCACTCAACTACATGATTGTGGAGGTTAGTTTATGGTTTTGTGATTTGTAGTGCCTGGGGTTTTTCTTGGATTATATTATTTTTTTTGCTTGTTGTGGCCGAGTGGTTGTGCAGTCACTCATTTATGACTCAGTTCTCATTGGGGCTGGGCTCCATTTATTTTGTAAGATGCTTGCCTTAGACCTCAGTTCCAGCTCACAAAATGTCTGCCAGAGTTCTAGAAAAGTGCAGTCTAACCTTAATGCCATCTTCTTCTCCGCTTTCACCGGCTGTAAACTCTGGTGGAAGGTTCTGGTTTTTCATCCGCCTCTGGTCTTTAGTCTTCTTTTAGAGCCTGAATGGTGTGTGCACATCCAGTTTTTACATGTAACATTTTTGTATGCAGACTGTTGGTTCCTGGCCTTTCAGGCAGATGCACTCTAACTTCGAAGGAGGCCTAGTTAGTCAGACGACACCGCGAGTCTATTTTTGTTTTTCCTGCAGTTGGGCCCCAGAATCACACAGGGCTTTGGTGTGGTGAAAACCTGGAATCTGAAACAGTTGGTGTTATGTTCATTTATCTCTCATTTTGTAATACTGTAAATACCACCATGCCTGAGGTGGCACACACTGATCCCCTCGCTAGTATCTTGTCTTCAACTGAGGCTACAAGCAAAACTGGAAGGTGAATAGAGAAGAAATATTTTACAATGCTTAACCATGACTGTTCAATAATTTATTTTCATACCCTTTCCTGTTCTTCTCTGGGATGGGTTTTTTTGTATGGGGGGTTGGGGGTATTTTGTTTTGTTGCAGCCTAATGAAGCATTTGCTGCCATCATTTGCCAAACCAGTATTGGCTACCATGGGATGGTACACTGAGACACTTGAAGTCTGTGGTAGTATATGGACAACCTCTCCACCTTAGAGCCCACCATGTGCACAGCTAATTATGTTTGTACTGCTTCTTGTCAGGTGATGTTTGGACAGATGTTCCAGTTGCCTAGAGCTCCATACATAGATCTGTTCTATGGGTCAACTTTTATAGAGTTGTGTAAGATCCAGCCAACGTCAATGCCTGAAGTGGTATCCTTTTTCTATCTCCAACCATTATGTGGTTGTCATAATGCTATTGTTTTGCCAGGTAATATGACCCTGCCAAAGTTGATTACAAAAAAGAAATTCAGTGACTGCTGCCAAAATATCTGTTAGTAACTTTAGCCAGGTCAGACATTAGCTAAAGTGAACATACAAAGTTTGCATCCACACAGTTTTATAACTGCAACAGGATGTCACAGTTTGTCAGCGCTGTAATGAATGGCTGTCAAGAGTCTTTGCCTATTCAGACATCAACTAAACATACAATGTTTTGCATCCACACAGTTTTATAACTGCAACAGGATGTCACAGTTTGTCAGCGCTGTAATGAATGGCTGTCAAGAGTCTTTGCCTATTCAGACATCAACTAAACATACAATGTTTTGCATCCACACAGTTTTATAACTGCAACCGGATGTCTCAGTTTGTCAGCGCTGTAATGAATGGCTGTCAAGAGTCTTTGCCTATTCAGACATCAACTAAACATACAATGTTTTGCATCCACACAGTTTTATAACTGCAACCGGATGTCTCAGTTTGTCAGCGCTGTAATGAATGGCTGTCAAGAGTCTTTGCCTATTCAGACATCAACTAAACATACAATGTTTTGCATCCACACAGTTTTATAACTGCAACAGGATGTCACAGTTTGTCAGCGCTGTAATGAATGGCTGTCAAGAGTCTTTGCCTATTCAGACATCAACTAAACATACAATGTTTTGCATCCACACAGTTTTATAACTGCAACCGGATGTCTCAGTTTGTCAGCGCTGTAATGAATGGCTGTCAAGAGTCTTTGCCTATTCAGACATCAACTAAACATACAATGTTTTGCATCCACACAGTTTTATAACTGCAGCAGGATGTCTCAGTTTGTCAGCGCCATGTTGCATGGCTGTCAAGAGTCTTTGCCTATTCAGACATCAACTAAACATACAATGTTTTGCATCCACACAGTTTTATAACTGCAGCAGGATGTCTCAGTTTGTCAGCGCTGTAATGAATGGCTGTCAAGAGTCTTTGCCTATTCAGACATCAACTAAACATACAATGTTTTGCATCCACACAGTTTTATAACTGCAGCAGGATGTCTCAGTTTGTCAGCGCCATGTTGCATGGCTGTCAAGAGTCTTTGCCTATTCTCTTCCTTTACTTTAAAATCCAGAAACCTTCCCAGTTGTATCATGCTCTTGCCTTTTTCTTCTGCTGATAATTTGGCTAAAATTATTGACTGTGATTTTAGTGTCTTTCAAAACATTTAGGTGAAACATGTCTGATCATGCATTTTCAGAATTCTTCTGCACATACTGTAGCATCGCAAAATTGTTTTGCTTCTTTTATATTTCTTCAGAATTTGCAGCCATTTGGTAAACTTGACTTTGTGTAACATAAACTTGACTCTGTAACATAAACTAGACTCTGTGTAACATAAACTAGACTCTGTGTAACATAAACTAGACTCTGTGTAACATAAACTAGACTTTGTGTAACATAAACTAGACTCTGTGTAACATAAACTTGACTTTGTGTAACAGGCAGCAATTCACTTTGTGACTTCCAATAAGAAGAACTTATTGCATCAGATCTTCACTTGATCACATACAGTTTTTGCTTGTCCTATTCTCTGCATTTCTGTGATCATATCAGAGAGAGAGAGAGAGAGAGAGGATATGTTCTTACATGTGTGTCTGAGTGAAAGACAGACAGAAAGGAGGAGAGGGAGGAATTGTGTACAGTGGAGCAATGTGCTTTAAATCCATAATTATTTTATTTGTTAACAGAACAAATGTAATTGCCCTACATGTAAATATTCAGTCAACAGACGTCCGAGGTATTCTAAAATGTAGCTGATTAATTAACTCTTCATGCATGTAAAAAGATCATACTTGTGTTGGGTTTGTTGCTGTGGCTGGTCTGGATAGAATCACAGCAGCACTAAATGAGTGTCGTTGACCTCCTTAACCAGGCACTAGCTAGCTCAAGCTTCAGAAATGTTGTGGGATAGACTCGACGTCATGCACGCTATTTGTATAGAAAAGTAAGATCACTCTTTCATAAATATTTGTTTTGTTGTCATGTGTTTCGTGCCTGACATTTTTAAAGATTTTTAATTTTATTGTCTTTTCAATTGTAATTACTTTAGTTTCTTGTCTCTCACAAGGTTTTCTTGCTATTATCCTGTGTGTTTTCCTCTCTCCCTTTGCTTATTGCTGCCTCCATGCCTCTTCAAACTCATCTCATCCTCTCTCACAACTTACCTATTATTTGTTACCTTCTCCTTTTGTATCCTCTGTTGTGCATATTTACTGCTGCTCTTTTCACCTCTAATAGTTTACATACTGTCTACTTGTCCAGCTACCCTGGCTTGCATTTGTTTCCTACCAACTTGCACCTGCACAGTCCGGTTCACACCAGTCCTCGTTTTAGTTGTCTTCATGATGTTTCTGGATTTTATTTCAGAGTACAAATTTGGTTGAGAAAAAGGTTGCAGCACCAGACAGAAATATGTGTGTAGTTTTTCTGGGTTTGTTGTCCTCTGTCTGATGTCCTCTGTATGTTTTCCTCTGTTTTTGTCCCCTGCTTGTTGTCCGGCTGCATGAAGTATTGAACTGTTATGGCTCTGCAGGTTTGTCCTGTGGTTCTCCTTGTTGTCCCCTGCTTGTTGTCCGGCGGCATGAAGTATTGAACTGCTATTGCTCTGCAGGTTTGTCCTGTGGTTCTCCTTGTTGTCCCTCTGGATGAAAGATTAAACTGTTATTGCTCTGCAGGTTTGTCCTGTGGTTCTCCTTGTTGTCCCCTGCTTGTTGTCCGGCTGGATTAAGTATTGAACTGTTATTGCTGTGCAGGTTTGTCCTGTGGTTCTCCTTGTCCCTCTGGATGAAAGATTAAACTGTTATTGCTCTGCAGGTTTGTCCTGTGGTTCTCCTTGTCCCTCTGGATGAAAGATTAAACTGTTATTGCTGTGCAGGTTTGTCCTGTGGTTCTCCTTGTCCCTCTGGATGAAAGATTAAACTGTTATTGCTCTGCAGGTTTGTCCTGTGGTTCTCCTTGTTGTCCCCTGCTTGTTGTCCGGCTGGATGAAGTATTGAACTGCTATTTCTCTGCAGGTTTGTCCTGTGGTTCTCCTACCATCTGAGCAACTTCCAGTACAAGTGGAGCTGGGACGATTGGGCTGAGTGTGTCACCATGGACCCGAATGCCCCCAAGTCCAAGTTTGTACGTGAGGTCCTGCTCAAGTGTTTGCGGTGAGAACTGTCTTGTTGAAGCTTTTCCTAATTTAGTGTGCAGGATTGACATATGGACAATTGTGTATGTCAGCCTACTTTCTCATACACCTGCAGAGTCATACAGGAGAATATGTGTACATCATTATACTTTCTTATATACCTACAGTCATACAAAAACCTGCACATGTAAATCGGTCTGCTTTCTGTGTACATCACCCTACTTTCTCATAAGATATAGAAATCTTTGTATGTACAACAGTCTAATTTTTGTATACAGCAATCTGCTTTTTCATACACCTACAGAGACATACAGAAACTTGTGTACATCAACCTACTTTTTCATACACCTACAGAGACATACAGAAACTTGTGTACATCAACCTACTTTTTCATACACCTACAGACATACAGAAACTTGTGTACATCAACCTACTTTTTCATACACCTACAGAGACATACAGAAACTTGTGTACATCAACCTACTTTTTCATACACCTACAGAGACATACAGAAACTTGTGTACATCAACCTACTTTTTCATACACCTACAGAGACATACAGAAACTTGTGTACATCAACCTACTTTTTCTTACACCTACAGAGACATACAGAAACTTGTGTACACCAACCTACTTTTTCATACACCTACAGACATACAGAAACTTGTGTACATCAACCTACTTTTTCATACACCTACAGACATACAGAAACCTGTGTGTGTACATCAGTCTACTTTTTCACACACCTACATTGACATATACAGAAAACCTGTGTACACATACATGTATGTATGTATGAACCTGGCATCAACACTTCTGTGATCATCACACAGGTTCTCCTATCATCAGAGAGTTGTAGAGTCCGTGCCAGAATCATATGCTCCACTGTTACCTCCTGAACCCAAACCAATCTACAGATACGACCAGGAAGGGGCAGGTTTGTTCTGGCTGTGTCACCATGTTTTTTTGAGATATTTGATACCTGTGAATTTTGTGAGAATTTACGTGTAAGAATAATAATTGAGGCATGCTGTATTAATATTGGTTGTCTCCAATTACCCAACCCCCTTCCCCCAGGGGCAGTGAAGTTTCAAGAGGGCTTCAAGCAAGTTTAGAACTGAAATGCTCTTGTAATTGTCATTCTCCCCCCCCCTTCCCCCCCCTCCCCCCTCCTCCTCCACTAACCTTTTACAGTAAAAAAAAACCAAACAGCTGTTCCGACTTGATGGGAAACCTGACCTCTGTTGTGCTTTGTCAAACATGAGACCAAAAATAGCAGATATCATTAAAACAAAGCAGAGTCAGCCAACACACTGATATCTGCACGCTAAATGACCAGTGTTGGTGATTTTTTTGTTTGTTATTGTACACACACACACACACACACACACCCCCCCCCCCCCCCCCCAGTTCTTGTTCTTCCCTTGCTGGAGCTCGTCATAAAATGCTGTCTTTGGGAGGCGATATTCTGGCATGTGGGTTATGTGACCAGCGCAATGCATCTTATAATTCTTCGGTATCGTATGGATGTTAAGCAGGTTTGCCCTATCAAGAATCACAGTGTTTGAAATCTTATCTTGCCATTACATTTTTTGCAGCTTTCTGAGACAGGTAGTTTTTAGGGCACCTTCCTCATGCCATGGAGGTGAGCAGTGCTTTCCTAAAGACGGCTGCTCAGTCGCTCAGGGGGCTGCCGAAGTCCACTACTGCTCCTATCAATGGACAGCGACCATATGGCCTGAGCTGCCTGCGTGCAGGTCTGCACGCTTTGTCGTTCGCCCATCGCCACAGGACTCGAAAATACTTGATGATTTACCCTTCGTCTGCAGCCATTGTCCAGTGTTAAGTTCAGTAACTCTTTTCTAGTCTCTCTCTTACTGCTACACTCATTGTTTTACATTATATCCATGAGCGTACACACACACACACACACACACAGATAGACTTGTGACCCATGGCTTTGTAAACAGTCAGTCTCTGGTCAGGCAGAGAATTTCTATAAGCTGACCAGTGCTGATGTATTTGTTGATCTTTGTAATGACTAGGTTCACTGCCAGGCACCATGCATGCCCATAAATTGATCAGTGCCATCAAGAACAAGTGTACCCCCGAGGAAGCTGCCATGTTGCTCAAAGACCTTCCAAATGTTTACCCAAATGGGCAGGAAAATGGTACGCTTTTCTTCCAAAATTCTATCTTTCATTTTAATTAGGTGTGGTTTATTTGTTGTTGTTGTTCCCAATTACAAGAGAAAGAATTTGTGTGTGTAAGTTCTAAGGATTCATTTTTTGTGCGTGCATCATCTGTGAGTGTAAATTCTGCAGTGTGCACATGACCTGCAGAACATGGTAGGCCAAACATTGTGTTAAATATTGGTCGTGTTCTAATCATTTCACTTTATTTACTGATTGTGGGCTGTCTATATAAAACCAGTGAAAATATCACGTGGGACTAGGCACTCTATCTTACTGTTCTTGTTGTATTTGAATGTGCAGTTTGTACATGGTTTTATTACGTTTTACAAGTATATGTATATGATGTTAATGTTTTATGTTAACAGAGAATGCATCCTTCAACCCACTGAAGATTGATGTTTTTTTCTCCACACTTCTCCACTTAAGTTCAAAATCAATCAGCCATTCGTTTGCTGCCTTGGCCAAGTAAGTCTGTGATTTGTGTGTGTGTGTGCTTATTTTCTATTCATATTGTTTATTTTACTGACAGCCCACATTACGTCAGTCACTTTGAGTGGAGGAGCACAATAGGGAGGGTACTAGCTGAATCCTGATATGAGGAAATGCTGCCTGAAAACTCAAAGTTGTGGCAGAGTAGATAGTGCAAGAAAGGCACCATGCTGCATAGACAAGGCATGGTCTCTGCAATACTGCAGAAACTTTATCTATCTTCACCACTGGCCTTAATTGCTCTTGAAAGTCATTGGTTTGAATAGATGGGGAAAATCATGGAGGGGTGGAATATTGAATTTAAAGTCTACATCATGGCACTCAGGACACTTCCATAAGCGCCCATCTTCGGCAGCAAGCGAAGGGTTCCAGTTCGGATGGCACCAGTAACTGTCTGATTGTATATCTGTCTCCTCTTTCGCTTGAGTGTTGAACATCGGCCAGATCCCCTTGTAACTCCTTGCAGCACCATTCTATTCAACCGTAATGATCTCTTTGTTCCTTCACACTGTTTACTTCCAAAAGACCCTCACAAAATCTAGCTAGCCATCTATCAGTTCACCACCAGGCAATGCAGAACTATCTGCCTGCTTGTTTCCCAACACACTGGTATCACCTAGAGAAAATATCTGAAGGACGCTGACTACCCGTGACCTCTGAAGCGATGCTTGCCGTTCTGCACGGAGCATGCCTGTCTCCACCTTTCTCAGCATGCTCTGGGAGTCCATTATAATTGCGACGTGTGTACAGCTGGATCTCAAGCTAGCCAGAGGCCGCAGTGACTGCCCACACCTCTGTTCTCAGATTAGACGTTGTGATATCATATGCCAGGCTTTTGTTGCACTAAGTGATGTCTTTCGCTTTAGCTATGAATACCAATGCACTTCGTCTGTCTCCACACACAGGGTCATCTGTAAAGATAATCTCATCACCGGTGCGGGAATTATCAACTTCTGATTCTGCATCACTATCTGGCCAGTCGCTGCACTCACCACCTACAGTGATTAGAACCGTACATAAGTGACCTACTCTCCTCTACTAAACTGATCATGTCTACATACGTGTCTCCTTGTGTCTTCAGCTTGCTCCATCCAAGACCTTCCTCTTTTCAATCTGTGACCCATACCTCTACCCAGGGCTTCATGCAGGAGGTGCTTCTTGTCTGCAGCTACTCTGAGATATGACTTTGCTTGCAGAACACTTCCAGGGTCTCTCTTGTACATCCTAGAATTACCCACTGGCTTCAGTTTGTATGCATTCACATTTCACCAGCTGACTCTTTTGATAAGGTGAGCATTGCTAGTCTATGATCTGTCACCGACAGGATCACTTGCTGCAACTTTGTGAACAGCATTTCTTGTCCAATGTCCAAAAGGTAAGGGTGAAAGCATCAACTTCATTGCACTTGGTTTTATCCCATATGGCTCAGTCTTTTTCTGCAGAACAGCTAGCTGAATACCGAGAGCGTTGCACAGAGCATGACCTCTGTAGCTCGGACGATGATAACACTATCACCTGGGAAGATGTTCAGGTGCCATAACATTATCACATGGGTAGACATTTAGGTGCCAAGACTGTTTGTCTTGTGGTACCTGTAAGGGCTTGTTTTATACACCAAGAAAGAAAAAAAAAAACACAGCTGTAGAGATACACTGTTAGCTGATTGATGGTTGGTTATGAATCTACAAGTCACAAGTGTTTTCACATTCAAGTCCCCAGGGTTAACATTCAAGTTGTCTGGACTGTGAATAAGGCTTGCATCTGTCAGTCAGTGTGGTTAGGGTAGAGATTTGTCTTCAAATTCTTGACAGCACTATCTCCAGGACTGCCATCTCTATTATATCCACTGTTGTCACTGACATGTCCAATGTGTAGAGATTTATCGCCAAGGGCAGTATCGTCCATGTCAAATATTTCTACTGTGTACATCTGTTGGTTTGTGAGTCCTGATTTATCTTCATGAGAACCACACATGATGATAGTAAATAATATCATTTGTGCAAAATTGCCCTTGGCATTTGTGACCAGTTGTACTAAGCCATGACACAACATACAGCGAGAGTACATGAGCCATGACACAACATACAGCGAGAGTACATGAGCCATGACACAACATACAGCGAGAGTACATGAGCCATGACACAACATACAGCGAGAGTACATGAGCCATGACACAACATACAGCGAGAGTACATGAGCCATGACAACATACAGTGAGAGTACATGAGCCATGACACAACATACAGCAAGAGTACATGAGCCATGACACAACATACAGCAAGAGTACATGAGCCATGACACAACATACAGTGAGAGTACATGAGCCATGACACAACATACAGCAAGAGTACATGAGCCATGACACAACATACAGCAAGAGTACATGAGCCATGACACAACATACAGCGAGAGTACATGAGCCATGACACAACATACAGAGAGAGTACATGAGCCATGACACAACATACAGTGAGAGTACATGAGCCATGACACAACATACAGCAAGAGTACATGAGCCATGACACAACATACAGCAAGAGTACATGAGCCATGACACAACATACAGTGAGAGTACATGAGCCATGACACAACATACAGCAAGAGTACATGAGCCACGACACAACATACAGCAAGAGTACATGAGCCATGACACAACATACAGCAAGAGTACATGAGCCATGACACAACATACAGCAAGAGTACATGAGCCATGACACAACATACAGCAAGAGTACATGAGCCATGACACAACATACAGCAAGAGTACATGAGCCATGACACAACATACAGCAAGAGTACATGAGCCATGACACAACATACAGCAAGAGTACATGAGCCATGACACAACATACAGCAAGAGTACATGAGCCATGACACAACATACAGCAAGAGTACATGAGCCATGACACAACATACAGCAAGAGTACATGAGCCATGACACAACATACAGCAAGAGTACATGAGCCATGACACAACATACAGCAAGAGTACATGAGCCATGACACAACATACAGCAAGAGTACATGAGCCATGACACAACATACAGCAAGAGTACATGAGCCATGACACAACATACAGCGAGAGTGCATGAGCCATGACACAACATACAGCGAGAGTACATGAGCCATGACACAACATACAGAGAGAGTACATGAGCCATGACACAACATACAGAGAGAGTACATGAGCCATGACACAACATACAGCAAGAGTACATGAGCCATGACACAACATACAGCAAGAGTACATGAGCCATGACACAACATACAGAGAGAGTACATGAGCCATGACACAACATACAGCAAGAGTACATGAGCCATGACACAACATACAGCGAGAGTACATGAGCCATTCTGACCAGGTTGTGTAACTTCCTTTTGAACAGTGATTTAGTGATCCATGGAACAGTGCACTAGAACCTAGAGGAACAGATGACATCAGTGACACTGACAGAAGAGTGGAACAGTGCACTAGAACCTAGAGGAACAGATGACATCAGTGACACTGACAGAAGAGTGGAACAGTGCACTAGAACCTAGAGGAACAGATGACATCAGTGACACTGACAGAAGAGTGGAACAGTGCACTAGAACCTAGAGGAACAGATGACATCAGTGACACTGACAGAAGAGTGGAACAGTGCACTAGAACCTAGAGGAACAGATGACATCAGTGACACTGACAGAAGAGTGGAACAGTGCACTAGAACCTAGAGGAACAGATGACATCAGTGACACTGACAGAAGAGTGGAACAGTGCACTAGAGCCTAGAGGAACAGATGACATCAGTGACACTGACAGAAGAGTGGAACAGTGCACTAGAACCTAGAGGAACAGTGCACTAGAACCTAGAGGAACAGATGACATCAGTGACACTGACAGAAGAGTGGAACAGTGCACTAGAACCTAGAGGAACAGATGACATCAGTGACACTGACAGAAGAGTGGAACAGTGCACTAGAACCTAGAGGAACAGATGACATCAGTGACACTGACAGAAGAGTGGAACAGTGCACTAGAGCCTAGAGGAACAGATGACATCAGTGACACTGACAGAAGAGTGGAACAGTGCACTAGAACCTAGAGGAACAGTGCACTAGAACCTAGAGGAACAGATGACATCAGTGACACTGACAGAAGATTGGAACAGTGCACTAGAACCTAGAGGAACAGATGACATCAGTGACACTGACAGAAGAGTGGAACAGTGCACTAGAACCTAGAGGAACAGATGACATCAGTGACACTGACAGAAGAGTGGAACAGTGCACTAGAACCTAGAGGAACAGATGACATCAGTGACACTGACAGAAGGGTGGAACAGTGCACTAGAACCTAGAGGAACAGATGACATCAGTGACACTGACAGAAGAGTGGAACAGTGCACTAGAACCTAGAGGAACAGATGACATCAGTGACACTGACAGAAGAGTGGAACAGTGCACTAGAACCTAGAGGAACAGATGACATCAGTGACACTGACAGAA